CACGCTGCTTTCGCTGATTTCAATGTGTTGGTGTGTTTGTCGTCAAAACTACTGTACCTATACTTTTGTGTCTATTTTAGAGCTTAAGCTTACTTAATGAAACTGCACTTCTAGTCCATGCCGCTCTTGTGTTCTAATCAAATGCAGGTGGCTGGATCAGCTCATGGCAATGGCCAGCAGTTGTTTCGCAAACTGATCATATGTTCATGAGTTAAGCACGAAGTTCGGTCAGTCGAAAACCTTCGTTACACAAAAATACAATAAGCTAACTGTTGCAAGGCAAATAAAATATCAACTTCACATGCTTTGCTTTCACTAAAGTATTTATGCAAATGATATATACGTACTTAAGTTTCAGTAATGTTCTTATAGACCACATCCTGTACCCAGATTCACGCTTTAGCGTGCCACTACCTCATGGATCATACCATAACTATGACTTGTTACACATAAAACGGTTAGCTAATCTATGTTAGGAATTACAAGCACGGTAAATAAAGCACCTGGTATTAAACGCCTTAATAGCAGTACTTAAGTAAAGAACTGTGTGAACGACAAATAAGTACTAATCTAGGTTTCTAACGGACGACATCACTATTTTAACTTAAAAGTTAACATGACCTTTTCTACGTCTTGATCGTGTGCCTGAAACATTGTCATTGCGATTTCTCAATTTGGAGACGAAACGAATCCAAATAACAATATCCCGGATTACTGTATTCTGAATTTTTAGTGCCTCCTTCTACAAAGAATTTTTGAAGACATGACCTGAACGATAGCAAGTAACGTTGTACATCTTTCTCCATCTGTAGTTAGCCCTTAAAACTTGCAATGTCGGATATATAAGAAACGTTGCTTCTGAAGAACACATTAAATTTTAAGGCTTCTGCCCCTCATCATCATCTTTATTTCCTTCTTCGTCTCATTCCTGTTCATCTTCACCATTGTATTCATCCCCTATTTCTTTTTCATGGTAATGACGCTATCGAATGTCCAACATTCTGTGAGATATACAAATCTTCAATGGCAGTACTGTTTAAAGCGGCGAAGCGGATCACTTACCTACTCATAATAGGATATTCACAGAAAGTAAATGTCAAACAACTAAGAACCGAAAATCAATAATGTTCGATGATCAGGTTAGTCGGTCGTCTGCCCTCATATTTCCATTGCATATCTTTAGGATGGAGTCATAGTTTCCACTGTTCAACAAGGAGCAGGCGCTGTGAGGCTGATATTTTTTCAAGATACCATCTTATTTTTAAATAAAGTAGTACAGTACCACTTCTACAATTCTCACATTGACAGAGATCTATCTGACTTTAAAGGCTAAAAGTCAAGTAATTCATTCTCATCATTTTCTATCGATTTCGAATTCATTTGCTCTCTCGACAGAGAGGTAAGGTTTCAGTTGGCTGTACCTTTAGGGTGTAACGGTGGTTAATCGCCACTAACAAAAACGGTCAAATAACGGTGAAAAGTATCTTGATGAATACGAGGCGCCAACACGCTATTTACAGCAATATCTTGAAGCTGATCGAAAGTTCTTTGACGACAGTGCCATCCAGTGGCTGTCGCTAATCTATGATTAAGTCTGCTTTGCTGACTACAAAAACGTCATTTTACATCCATACAGTCTTTGCGCCACGCATCGAACGAAGAAAGTGGCTACCTTCCGAAAGCTTTTCGCCTTTGTATCAGTTCATCTTTTGTCTCTCGCAGGGCAGAGTGATGGGGGTGGATGAATAGTAAGTACTTCTGCAGACCTGGTAAACACTATACTGACTGATATGGCAATGAATCGTTTCTGTTCCGCTGTGGTAAACCGACATGCAGTGATCGCCAGCAACCTGTTTCACTGGCTGCACGCCACCAAAATGACTTCGTTAACAACTGACAAAAGCAGTATGCAAAAATGAGCAATATCAGAGTGGTAACTGCATTCATTTATTCGAGCACAATAACTCAAAAAGAAAACACTTTTCACGTTCCTCCCGACATGTTCCGCCATTAAAAATAAGCGACAGTGACAACAGGGGTTCACTGATAAATGAAAACAACCAGAACATTTGTTAATTAGACTCTTTCGGAATAAGGAAAATGAAAGATATTCAAACTGCATGACATTTTAAAGCATATCATGAATAAAACATAACTTTTGAGTGTAAATTTATTGGCCTCGAACAACGAAACGTCAAAAAAACTGCCAGGGCTCTGAAACTCTGAACTTGGGAAGGTGGAAACTACTCTATTAAGGTACCAAATACACTCAGACAGATATTGGAATTCTGGTAAAACCAAGCCTGGCTGACAGAATCACTGAATGGAAGAGTGGCAATCCTCTGACCGAAGCGACAGCATCTCAAAACGATGACCTTACTACAGGTCTATGCGCCTAATTTAGAAAGAATATTTAGAAAGAATATGACTCCTTCCTTGAGGAAAGGGAGTGTGCTCAGTACGAAGTGCCGATTACGGAGTCTCTCATTCTCACGGTCGATTCTGATGCGCATGTCAGAGTATCGGTGAAAAGTGGAACGGCGCGATTGAAAAGAATGGTCCCAGCGACCTCAACAATAACGGCATGGAGTTGTAGCAATTTTGTGCAAACAAGGACTATCTGTCCATTATGAACATCTTCTTCGAGCATCGAAAAGTGCATCAATGCACAGCGAACTAGTGCACATAAGTCGGTGGTCGATTTGATAATCATATAATCTGACTAACGACCCTCTGTAATGGATGTTCGCGTTAAGAGAGGCGTAGAGCAATCAACCGATCATCACCCTGTTGCTGGCACTCTGCGCTGTAAGAAATGGAGTACCATAGGAAGATCCGGTGGCAGAAGCAACCATAGAATCAAATGGGAAGCATTACCTTTTGTGAATATGGGGACAAACCTGCATGCAACAAGGAACAACGGTTTAAACTCATCGCAACCGTGATATGAACCGAATGTAAGACTTTTAACACCGGCTCGCTCTCGGGTGTCTCCAAAAGCTGTGATTTAAGGGGTTGATCAGTCACTTAAGGATAAGAAACGAACTTCCTTGTGAATCCCAAGGGTTCAACGAAAATAAGGATGCATTAAAGAGGTTACTTGGAAGCAAAGAGCCTTCAACTCGTAGGCAAAATAAAATAGAGTACCGAGAGACAACTAAAACAGTGGCCAAAGCTGATACGTGAGAAAAATTCATTAGGAGCTGGATTCGAATATCCAGACGGCAAACAAGATATTTAGGCAGAGAAATCATTGGGCTCACTCATCTGGATATCGCCGCTGCTTCGTTTGACTGAGAAGTCGCAGCTGCGATAGCATGGGCACCTGTTTCGACTGCATCCGAATCAACCACAACTTGCCTGGCAGAGAGCCCATAGTACGGTCAAGATTACTAAGGCAAGTATATTGAAGAAGCTTGCCTCAGACTGAGCTTCAGCAGAACACTACTGGACTTTGGAATAGACTCCTTCCATATATTTCCACCGTTAACTGGTCCTTCCGCCCATCGGCTTATCAAGAAACAGTTGCTTAGTCCTCCTTTCTGGAGGCATTCGCAACACATGGCCAAACCATCGCAGTTGTGACTTCTCAATCGGAGGAGCAAAGGCTTTACACCAAGGCTCTTCCGGATGTCATTATTCCGGACCATGTCGAGACGCGTAAAACCAGCGATTCGTCTCAGAAACACTACATCAGCAGCTTGTAGAGGGTTCAAAGTTTTCCACTGATGGTCCACGATTCATGACCGTAGGTAAATACGGGGACAAAGATCGACTTCATTGAGAGCTTAGTTTTCAGGCTGAGCTCTGTTTTAGTCACAATGGGTCGGGCTAATTCACACAGAACGCCACTGGCTACTTTAATTCCCCGGTCGATCTCTTTTTCCAATTTTCCATCACAGGTAAATACAGTTCCGAGGTACTTGAACCTCTCCACCTGCTCCACTGCCTCAACATTAATCTGAAGAGAGCAACGGGCAGGAGAACAAGAAAGCACTAAGCGTTTCGTTTTAGAAGCATTCACACGCATGGCGGTCATGTCGCACTCGGCTGTGAACCTTTCTACGGAGCACCGTATATCAGTTCCAGAAGATGCCAATAAACCAAAGTCGTCCGCAAACAGCAACCTTCTCGTTTACACATCTCCTACACCGAAACATTCATCGCCTTGGCTCCTTCTGACTATTCTGTCAGTGTACCAGCACAAACAGGAGAGGATACAGGACACGGCCTAGGCGGAAACCAGTGCCAACTATGAGGGCTTTCGACCTCACGGCACTTACTCTGATGTAGCACCTCCTATCAGAATACAGTGATTGGATGGCCCTTAGCAGCTGGCCATCTATCCTAGATGCTCGAATGCATGATCATATACTGTTGTGTGGCATCCGGTCATAGGCTTCTCTAGGTCAATAAAATACATCTACACCGGATGTGCGCACTCTCGTGAATTCTCAAAAATAAAATTCTCTCATTCTCAAGCAGAACAAATATATGGTCAGAATCGTTCGACCGAGACGATTGCTCTTCTAGTATCTTGGAGTCCGTTGTTCCGCGGCACCACCTTTCTAGTACCTTTTCGAATACTTTAACTGGAAACTCAATAACGTAATACCCGTATAACTGGAGAACTCCTTGTGGTCTCCCCTCTTGAATAACGGTACAGTAACTTCAGTTATCGAACCCGCTACTATCTGTCCCGCTGAACTGACAAACACTAAGCCAGCACATGCCTTGTTCGTCTAATGCCTTGAGCATTTTAGGGCGGATTTCATCAACTCCAGCAGCCTTTCCATTTTTCAAGCTTTTCACAGCTTGTATAATTTCATCCACACGGATAGTAGTATCCGTTCCCTGCTACTCCACAGGCGAATCTTTCTGCGGATCCAGGGTTAAGCAGTTCCTCAAAGTACTCTCTCCATCGCTGAAGAATTTCATCATCCTTGATAAGAGGGTGTCCAGGCCTGTCTTTCAAGATTCTTAGACTACCCTACTTTTCACGTCGTCGCTGAGCCGGCAGATGGTCTACCAGAATACCCTGTTTGCGGTGTGGAAGTTCGACTCCAACATCTCACCGAATTTCTCCCAAAAATCCTGCTTTCGCTGCCGCCTTGCGTATGTCGACATATCGCACGCGAGTATAAAGCTCTTTGTTTCCTAGCTTTTCTTGAATGACGCCAGAAGATCTTTCCTGGCCTGCAACCGGTAGTTTTTTAAATTCGCAGCATTTGGCGGTAGCCCCGAGGATAACAGGGATCTGCTCAAACAGTCGTGCGATTCTGTTTGCAAATTTTGCTCTCGTGTCCACTGAAGATAACGTTTCCCATTTGATTGGGTGATCGGTTGATAGCTCTGAGCCACTCTTAACGCGAACATCCATAACTGAGTATCTTAAGACAGACGATACGATTATCAAATTGATCATCGACGTCTGTTCATAAGCTTCCCGATTCCAGGTGTACTGATGCACTTTTCGATGCTCGAAGAAGGGGTGGGTGTTCATAATGGACAATCCGTTGTTTGCACAAAACCGCAACAACTTCATGCCGCTATTGTTGAGATCGCTACGGCCGTTTTTTTCCAATCACGCCGTTTCACTTTTCAACGTCTACTCCGACGTGCGCATTAAAATCGCCCATCAGTATGAGGGACTCTGTATTCGGCAGAGAGCACACTGCACTTCCGCAAGGAAGGTCTCATATTCTCCTTCCAAATTGGGCGCATAGACCTGTACCAGTTCCTCAAGGAAGGTATCATATTCTCCCTCCAAATCAGGCGCATAGACCTGTACTAAGGTCAACGCCTTAGCCTGTGGTAGCTTCAGTCAGAGGATTGCCACCCTTCCGCTGACAGGTCTCCAGTCAATAATTCTATCAGCGAGGTTGAGTTCTACCAGAACACCAAAACCGGCCTGAGCGCGAGTCGTGATATCGACACCGGAGTAGGACAGCTTACACTCGAGAGGTTCAGGAGTCCAGAGCCTGGGCGTTTTGTTGACGAGAGTCCAACAATGTGGAGTTGGTACTTTATAGCCTCATCAACTAAATCTTGTTCCTTCTGTCTGAGTGAGGATATATTTCAATTTCAGGCTGCAAGCTCCCACTAGCGGTGTCGTTCACGTGGAGCCTTTACTGAAGTGCTATAATGATATCGCGCTGTCTGCTTCCTCCGTTCAGAACGGGTATCGACTCCGCTACTGACTGGTGTCTTCGTCGTCGTTCCGCCGGTCTTCGTCAGTCGTTGTTGTGCTGCTACGCCCCCGGCTGGCAGAGGGCGATGAGCAGATTCTGATCGCCGACTTTTCGCGGTCTGCCTCAGTCCTCGAACCGCCTGCGCGGCCCTTGGTAATCCCGGCGACGACCGAGCCGGTATAATTTTCGATGGCGTCAATACCATGAATGGCAGGTGGCTGAATTTTACGGAAACTTGCCACGGTCTCCAACTCTCCTCCTTTCTCATCCGGGCTTGGGACCGGCAACGACGGAGTTTAACGAATGTGAAGAGAGAACCCTAAATCTAAACGCCATACGAAACCGTTGCCAGCAGAGGTCAAAATTTACCTTTCATGAAGAAATCAAGGTGCACTGAAGGAGTCTTTAATTTTAAGATCGCAGCTATGTAATAA